TACGTATGTGCTTTAGTTTTAACTTCTAATAAACTTTTTCACAATTTTGTTTTTTCCTATATTTGAATTTTAAGAAATAATTAAGTTATAATAATTAATAATTAAATACCTATGTACATTGAAGTGAAGTGGTCGGTGAAAGAAAATACAAACTAAAGGCAAAAGCAAAAAACAAATAAATAAAAATAAATAGTTTCGGCTCGTAAAGTAAATAAAATTTGAAAACTCTATTAAATATTAAAATTAAAGTTCTTATTTTTTTTTTCATTTAAAAAAGCTATTGTGCGAATATATGCATAGCGCTCTCGGTGCGAAGATATATATAAATACCTGCTTACATACAAATGCTATATGGTGATTTAAAGTGGATTTTGTTTTGTTAATAAAAAAAAGAAGAAAATAATAATAATAAAATAAAAATTTTTCAAAAATTATGTATGTATGTAAATACCTGCATATGTATGTCTATCTGTTTTTCTTTTAATTATTTTAAGTGACATACATATATACATTTATAATTATTAATATACGCCATATACCTTATATATAATATATATTTTGCTATATACTCATACATATATATTTGCATTTATCTACTTTCTCGTTCGTTTTCCTAATTCGTTTAAATTTTTCTTATATATTATTTTTCCAATTTTCGGCTAATTTGGAAACATGTCGTCACTAAACTGGTACACTAGCTGTTCGGATTGTATAGTAGAATTCAATGCGGAATTCGAAGATCCATTTATGAGCGAACAAACTAAAATTTCACTAGATATTTTAAAACAGAATTAAAAGAAGTGTGGTCGAAAACTAATGCTTGCAATCTTTGGTCGATAATTTTTTACGAATTAGCGAATATATTCAGAGGTTTAAGGCATTTGAGGATTCGATTGTGACTTCTGCCCAAGTGGCAAACTTTTCGAACAATTTATATCTTCCGCCATGTGACGAGGATATATTCTATGGTGTTTATGTATCATGGCCTTCTTGTTTTGCGATCTTTTCACCGCCATTTATATTAATAATGTCCGGACTACTAGTGTTGAAAAATTGTATCACTTATTGAAAAATACAAGTGGTGAAGCGCGAGATATTGTTAGTAAATATCCACTACCAAATCAAGGATTCGATATTGCTTGGGCAAATTTGAACGCCGCTTATGAAAACAAACGCGTATTTGTCAGCAGTCAGTTAAAAATTCTGTTTCCTCTTCCGGTTATTCGAAGCGAAAGTGCAACAGCCTTCAATATTCAGCGAAGCGTTAATGGATGTCCTTCTGCATTAGCTATATATAATATTCTTATTAACGTGTGTTCAAATCGACTTCCGGAATCACCCCTAAGTCTTTGGGAACAAACTTTGAATGATAAAGCGGAAACTCCATAGTGGAAACAAATGGACGCGTTTATCTCGCAACGGTACAGGACTTTGGAATCAATAGTCGATGTCAAAGGTGCAAGTCCGTCGACTATTATCAACGGTTTTATCCATCACTAAATATTTCGATGAGTCAGAAGAAAGTGCCACTCGCGACAAATATTTCCAACCCTACTGCATGTTGTGTCCGAAACGACAACATTATTTGCGTTTGTGTACCAAATTTTTAGCTCCTTCAGTAGACGATAGGTTTTCTGCACTTAAAAAGCACAATTGCTGCTTAAAGTGTCTTACTAAAGGACATTCTCTTAAAGAATGTTAAAGTCATTTGTCGTGCACTAAGTGCAAAAGTAGGCATCACTTTCTACTACAAAGGGTGTCTTCTAATACTCAACCATCAAAGGGATCTACGAGTGGAAATGCTCCTAAAGCATTCCATACAAATATACTGTCCACTTCTCCGTTTAGTAGTTCGTTGTTGGGAGGAAAAAATTGCAAAGCGTGTGATTGTTTCTCCACTCTTCTAGGAACCGTAATTGTTCACATTTGCCATTTGCGCACTACTTATGCCGCTCGGGCTTTAATAGGTTCAGCTTCGCAGGCCTCATATGTTTTGGGAACTTTTAAAGCTCCCGTTTCCGAAGACAAATGCGATTATTTCCAGATTAAATCAAAAATTGGGCAATAGGTCCTGGAAATCTTGCTCGTTTATCTTGGGCTCACCCCGTGACCCAAATATTTTCATTGAAGCTAATGCATTCGGGTTACCTCAAATCACAGGTAACTCACCTTCAGCTTCGATAGGTGGATCTTTTTTAGATCTACTGCCTAAAGCACCTTTAGCAGAAGAAAATTTTTAGAAAGCAACCCTATTGATGTTTTAATCATAGGAGATTTGTATCCCCAAGTAATGTTGGATGGGCTGAAGCGTAGTAGTCATCATATCTTCTGTCCCAGGAAACCGTGTTCGAGTGCATTTCGTTGGCCACAAAGCTACGAAGGTTCTGGGAATGAGAGGAAATCCAAAAAAGAAACCTTCAATTAAGTGAGGATACGTTATGTGAAGAGCTTTACTGGAAAACTACTATCAGGAATTCAGAGGGTAGATATAATATATAGTTTCACTTCCTTTTAAAAGTTTTTATCAATGGATATTAAACTATGATCGTCAAGACATATTGCATTTCAGCAATATATTCGGAATGAAGCCAGATTGGTGAAAACGCCCTGTTTGGAGAAAGTGGATTCTCCTCCCTTTGAATATTCGCCAAATTATTTTTATTTATCCCATCATGCAGTCACGTTCAACGCATCTAGCAACAATTCCAAAGGAGTTTGTCTTAACGACATCTTGGATGTAGGCCCAACTCTACAAGCTGATCTTACATTACTGCTGATAGATGGCGAATGTATAAGTATGTATTCAATAGTGACATTCAAAATTGTATAGGCAAATTCTAGTTAATCCAGTGCATAGGGCTTATCAAAGAATTCTTTTCGGAAATGATCCGAACAGTACATTCAATATTTCGAATTGAAAACTTTTGGAGTAAATTGTGCGGCCTACTTGGCGATAAGGACTCTTCTAGCAACTTAAAATTTTGAGGAACTCAATGCACGCAGATGATGTGTTAGCCGGTTTTCATTCCAAGTCCATAGTCTTAAAAGCTCGATATGAGCTAATAGAAACACTCAATAGTGCAGGCTTTGTTTTGAGGAAATGGTGTTCAAATAATAAGGAAGCACCAACAAATATTCCGCAGGGTTATTTAGTCGATAAGAAATTTTTAGATGTGGATGAGACGAGCACTGCACTATTAGATGTAACGCAAGATAAGACTATTTCTTTTTCGACATACAGCCCATTCTGTCCAAGGAATGCTACATAAAACGAATAGTTTTTGCGACTAAAGCGAAGCTTCTGGATCCAGCAGGTTGGCCAGCTGCCAGGAACACTCACAGTACTTCCGACTTGCACCGTATACGTTTACACAGAGCACTGACGGGTTCTAACGCGCACTCTATTGGATCCCTGTTCGCAAACAAGTAAAGTTTATTGATCGCTCGTGCAGCGGCTCCGGCTACAATGTATCAGTTCGCTAACATCGACATGTGCGAGCTCCACATAAGCTCTTCGTACGACTCACATTGCAAGATGTCATTATCAGTGAAAATCATAGACGAAGTCGACTTGAAGACACCAGCTCGCATCTCAGTCAAGCTAAACGAGAAAAATATGCTAACATGAAGATGGCCGCGCCGAATTGCTACACATCGTCCGGCATTGCCTGATTGGTGGAGACGTGTACCACAAAATTTTTCGAGGTGAGATCACTTCGTGTCCTAAATACTACTTTCGGTTGGGTCCTATCAGGACCAGGATACTCTTTAAGACACCTTTTAAATCTTATTAGTTCTTTTATGTAATTATAATATATTCGTTTGGATCTTCTAGACCCGTGTGTCCGTCTAGACACCACGGTGTCTCGTGGTTATAATATATTCGTTCGGGTCTTCTAGACCCGTGTATCCCTCTAAACACCACGGTTTATTACAGTTCGATTATATTCGTTCCGGTTTTTCAACCCCGTGTGTTCCTCTAGACAACACAGTTGTTTTAATTATTGTATTACTAGCGACCCGCTCCGGCTTCGAACGGGTCCAATGCTGATACTAAATACACTACAGAAAGACTGTGAACGTTGTATATAAAAACATAGCGGCGTATAAAATATATAGCCTATGTGATTAAAATCGATCCAGTAGTTTTGATTTATTCATTACTGCCCGTGGCCCGCACGCGTTGAATTTGGAGTAAAACAATCCCCCTTTCCCTAAGCCATGAAAATTTCCTGCTATCTTTGGAATATCTAAATTCATACACTACATTTTTACTTATTTACTTTTTACATTTTTAACTATTTATTTTATTTTTACAACATATTACAGAATGTCTTTATAAACAACGCTCACAGCTTTCTTGACATTAGACAATACAAACATGTTTTCACTGGAGGTCACTCTTGAAAGAGCGACATACAGTTGTCCATGAGAAAAACAGTCAACGCTCAAATCTAAGCATGCAACGTTGAAGGTTTGACCCTGCGATTTATTAATGGTCATTGTAAAAGATGTATTTACCGGAAACTGTAAACGTTTAAATTGGAAGGGTAGATCCGATGGTATCGGGGGATTCGGGGAATCAATACATCTTCTCCGGTACCACATCCTGTGAGTATTGTGCACTCTAATAGGAAAGTTTTCAATGATTTTACCAGCAAACGCGTGCAATTGCAAAGTTTAGGTAGATTCAGGTTTCTTTATAAAATAACAGGACAACCTACTTTCAACACCATTTTGTGAGGAGGGAGTCCAGATGGGTTCAAAGAGTTTAAAAATTCTGTAGGAAAATGAACAGCTTCTTCAGAATCGAGAACAGTATCGACCGAGTAGTATATTTTCGTCGGCGCATCAATCTTTAAAAAAATCAAGTTATTTACCTTATTTCTTGCTCGTTAATTGGTGACAGAATCGCTTTTCTTTAAACCAAGATATTGTCATATAACTTATGTTATCAATGTCAGGATAGACATTATTGACTAACTCTTGGATGTTTTCTATCAAAACGCAAAGGTGCTAAGGTGTGTTATCTCTCCATTGCCAACTTTTAGCAGCATCTCTGGAAATAGCCTATTCTCACGTGAAGATGACGAAACCCTCATATTAGTTTTAAGCTCTAATTTATCGACATGTGGCCAAAGGTTGGATCTTTTTAGGCAAGTATTTATTTCGTCAGCACGTGTTCCTCGAGTCACAACTGGTAGGTTTTGACGGAAATCTCCTGAGAACAGAATTGTACATCCACCCATAGGTGAATTTTTGTTGCGCAAATCGCGCATTGTCCTATCCAGTGCTTCCACCGTCTTGTTTGACATGGTAGCTTCATTCCAGACTATTAATGAGCAGTCACGCATTAATTTTCCTGTATTGCTCTGTTTAGAAACACTACAGACGCTGTAATTATCATCGGTGGGGATTTTCAGCGGGAGGTTGAATGCGGAGTGTGCGGTTCGGCCTCCTTCCAAAAGCGTAGCGGCAATGCCGGATGACGCAACAGCTAACGCAATTTTTCCGATAAATCTCACTTTTTTTAAAAGCAGATTGATTAAAAATGTTTTTCCTGTTTCTTCTGGGCCATCAAGGAAAAACAATTTCCCTTCATTGTTATCAATTGTTGATAGTAATGCAGTGAATACTTTTTTCTGATCGATGTTTAATCGTGGCTCATCTTGACCTATATTTTGTAAATGTCTCGTTTGATCGTATGATGTTTTCTCTTGTGCACCTTGTACAGTTCTTAGGTGTGCAAAGGATGTCGGCCTTTTTACAATATGCAGTAACATTATCAGATAAAAGCATTCGCTGTTGTTGGGATGAACCACGTAGACTCTGCCAAGAGCATCCTTTTTTTTACTTCGGGGAAACCATCAACCGCAGTACCCTGTTTTCCGTTGCGTTGAAAAGTTTTAGAACTCTGGCTCCATGTATAGTAACCTGGAACTCTGTCATATGTCAGTGTTTTCGCGAAATCTTCTTGAACACATTACTTGAAGAATGCTGTCAATGTTGTATCCCGCGGGTTATTAGCAACTTCTTGTATATTGTTCTCTGTAAAATATATCCTTTGCCCATTTTCTGAATGAACTGCAAGGTGGACAATTGTGGGAGCCCGGTCGTGCACTTCGAATGATAAAATCGTCCATATAACTTCAGAGCTGCAGATGTAACGTCCAGACTGATATTTTTCCACTTCATTTGGTGATGGTACGCTGAAAGTGGCTTGATCACTGCATTTATTAATGTACTTAGTAACATATTGAATTGACTTTATTGAATTGCACAACTCTATATTGATGTGGGCATCAAAAATTTTCAAAAGGAGCGGATCATAGGGAACGATCCATCGATTATCAATATCATGGTTTCGTACGGTAGCATTTTGCCCACCCTGTTCTTACGATCGCCGTCGATATTTGGGATATCCGTCATCGCTAGTACTTGTTTGAGTTTGGAACGACTACCGCCGCAAACGCTACGTCCTGCAATTTTTAAATCTGTAATATCTTCGTAAATATTCACTTAAATCATACGGTGTAAAGGGCTATATGGATCTATATTAAATGAACAATGTATTTAAGGTAATTAATTGGTTAAGGATTAATGCTGTATTGGTTAAAATCGCTTCGAAAATTAGCCATTATTTGTCGTAAAAACTAAATTACAAAAAAAAGTTATTGTGGGTTATCCATAAGAGACAGACATATACCATCACGGACTTTTCTGTACACCTTTTCAATGTGTACAATACTTAGTACATTATTTTGTTAAAACACGTAGGGTTCAGCCGTATGCAATGTAAGCGGAAAAAAATGTAATTATTTACGACATCACATTAGAAACCTCAAATATAACAGGACTTCTCCACTATTTAATGGATGTTATTATACATATAAACCTTCCTCCTGAATCACTCTATCTACTAAAAAAACCACATCAAAATCCGTTACGTAGTTTCAAAGATTTAAGCATACAAAGGGACATAGGGACAGAGAAAGCGACTTTGTTTTATACTATGCAGTGATAAAGTTATAACAGATTTGAGATTTTAGATTCGATGAATAATGTTCATCGAGCTACAATTTTAAGTTTTTAAATTAAAGTAAATACACATGTAAATAGTGTTGAAGGCTGGTATTTCACGCTTTGATGGCTGGTTTGAAAATGTCTTCAAATTAAAGTTTTTCAAAATCAAAGAGCCAACGGGGCTCTCATGTCCCCAACAAATCGTAAACCTTAAAACATTGGCGGGATCGTCATCAAAAAGGTATTACCTAACACAAATGCAACAGTGAATTCTATTCGAATATGGCAAACCTCATTCACCAAGAACTGTTGGCAGATGTAAGTTCATAACGGCATATTTTATGTTTTTTTTATAATTTTTATTAGGGCAAATATATCAAAGAACGCACATACCAAAATAACGAAATTGCAAATAATGTCGCTCGCATCTCGCTTTGCATTTGCTGTCAATTTAAATACAATATGTTTTGGGCAAAGGATTTTATCTATTGCCCTGTGAACTTCCCTGTTGTGCAAATCCCAATTGAAAATTTTGCCCTATTTAATGCTGGTGACCACTTTAAGCTAAAAAATTCAAAAAACTGCCAGTCTTAGGGATGGGGGTATTGCGACGCACCGATGACGTGCTTTTAATTTCAGCTCAATACTATTGTACAATATTTAAAAAATATGAAAATGTTTCTTTATTGAGTCGAAATAAAGCTATATAAAACATATGCCGTAAATGGTTATTTCTACATTAATTTATTAAGTTGCAGACTGCCTACCTCGTAAACTTGCGATCGACCACAACGCGCGTGGGGTTAGACGCCGAGAGCTGAAGAGGGAAGCGAGACGCATTTGCAAGTAAAAAACAGAAAGGCCGAAGCTCGTTAGTATGAGGAGCTTGAGAAGTTGGCCGACAAGAGCAATGCTCGAAAATACTATGAGAAGAAACGACGACTCACAGAAAGTTTCAAGACCACATCAAACTCTTGTAGGACCCAGAGGGGAGAGCTAATGACGGACGCCCAGAGTATACTGAAACAATGCACAGAATGCTTCTCTAGCCTGCGGAATAGCAGTGAAACTGGAGTATTCGGAGATGGTGAACTTGAAATCCCATTTGATGACGTTGGAAAAAAGTTCCATTATTTGACCATGAAGAAGTTCAAATAGCAATCGCCCGGAGCAACAAAGTATCTGGAGCTGACGGCCTACCGGTAGAACTATTTAAACATGGCGGCGAAAAGCTGACAAAGGTCATGCATCAGCTACTTTTCAGAATATGGTCGGACGAAATCATACGCGACGATTGGAATTTACGTGCGCTCTGCCCAATCCATAAAAAAGGGGACCTCGCAGTCTGCGATAAACAGCCACCAGGAGACTCCCTATCCGCTTGAACAGGTCGGACCAAGCTCCGAGGGCTCCTGTTCCCCGTGGTACCAGATCTACATCTCCGGTCGAACCTCGTCGCCGAAGCTACTACCAGTTAAGCTTCCATATTGCTCCGGACTGGTGGCCGGGGGTTGAGCTCATTTTCCGCGTACCGACTCAAACATGCTCATTCATACTCCTAACCTAATGGTCAATTAAACCTCAGATGCCTTCGCCGTCTAAACAAATCACTCGCAAATACTTCAAACACACGCATGTACTCTCCACCCTACCCCGTCCATCTGTCCTAACTATTCCCATACCCCTCCACCACAAACGAGACATCACGAACGTACTCATATGTTACGCGACCATTGGAGCTATTCTGCCTACGGTCTTGTCACTTCCAAAACACACATGCACTTAGAAGCCTACGGTATTCTAAGTACCTACGTTCTAGATCACTATCAGTTAACCAACCATTTTGCAGCAACTTCAGCTTGAAGGCTACAGCACGCTGTATCACCACTAAGTCTAGCGGAGGGGCACTCACTGACACCTACAATGCCTCAGTAGAGACGGTGCGGCAAGTTAACAACATTACTCTCTGCATATATAACGTTCGCTTAATACCTACATCCGTCATAACTGATTTGTACTATGCAGCAGAGCCATAAGAGAATAACTTGAAGTTTAGGGTACACCTCCTTCACCACCTTCTGTATCACCTCCTTTAAGGTGGTGGAAGGATTTTTGCTCCTCAGCACGTCCGACCATGTCTCTACCGGCTTAGGTAGAATCTGACCATGAAGGTTAATTCTCAGCAATTGCCGTCATCAGGAGTTTTTCGTACTCCGAGGAGGACTCCAGCAACTTCTTAATGATATCCCTCGACTCTACCAGTGACGTTGCTGGCCGCAGTGGACCCCTCAACCAACTTTTTGGTCGTGCATACTGGTCCCAGACCCAACCCATCCCCCATGGGTAATACCCGAAAACTCACCCGCACCGTATATGTGCACAAACAACACTACACTACCAGTTTCCAAACTCACGGATATCGCACAAAAGAAATCACGCAAAAACTAACTCGATCGCACGGACCGCTCATAAACCCCCGTGTGCTCGCTTCGAACGCCAAACGACAAGTGTGTCACTGTCGCCAGTCATAACTTCAAGGATGCAGATAATTTTGTCTATCTAGGAAACAGCATCAACACTGACAATGATGTCAACCTTGAAATTTAGCGCATAATCACTCTTGCCAAACGGTGCTACTTTGGACCTACTCAGGTAATTGAAAAGTAAAGTCCTCTACCGACGAACGAAAACCAAGCTCTACAAGTCCCTCATCGTTCCCGTCGTGCTATATGCAGCGGGGGCATGGACGACGACAACATTTGATGAGCCGGCGTTAAAAGTTTTCGTGAGAAAGGTTTTGAGTAAGATTTGTGGTCCTTTGCGCATTGCCAACGGCGAATATCGTTGGCGATGAAACGAACGATGAGCTTTACGGGATGGATACGAATACTCCAGCTTTGAAAGTTTTCGATGCAGTAGGAAGCAGAGGAAAAGGAAGACCTCCTGTCAATTGAAAAGAACAGGTAGAGAAGGACCTGGCTTTACTTGGTGCAATATTTCCGATTGGCGCCAAACAGCAAAAAGAAGGAACGAATGGTGCAATGTTGTTAACTCGGCTATAATCGCGTTAGCGGTGTCTACGCCAGTAAAATAATGACATTAATGTAGGCTATTAATAATAATAATAAAAATTTTTACGAAATCTTTTTGGTTTGAAAATTAACCCACATTCTTTTAAAAAGCATGGGAGGCGTGCTGGGAAAGTACATAGGGAAAATTAATCCAAGCTTATATCTTATTATATATTAGTTGATATATTATTTTTTCAGAAAATATAAATCAGTCAATATGAGAATTGAAAAATAATAAGTAAAAGTCCTGTGTTATGTAGTGCTTTGGAATATTGTCAAAACAGATCCGAATATAATAAAACTAATTTCAAAGTACCCAATAACTGAGTACTTACGGGGTTAAGAGGGCCACAAGTTTTCATCGAAAATATGTTAAGGATTATATTATATTAACTAAATCATTGACAATATAACTATCTACAGAACATTGAATAGTTTCTAAAAAAATGTGCAAGAATTTAAAATTTGATATAAACGAATAAGTTATTACAGCTTTCAATAAACTTAAAAGAATAATTGCCGTAAGAAAGGGGTCAAATAGATTGTTCCAAATTATTTAGATTGACCACTTTCTCAAGAAAGTAAACTAACTAATGAAACATTAAAAAAAATCTGAAATTATTTATATACCTTAACTAATACAGTTAAGTTGAACTTTCAAAATAAATTTGTTTGTTCAACATTATTTC